AATTCGAGCTCTTAGAAGTTTTGCAGAGTTTAGGGGTTGGCTCGAACGACAAAAGTTTCACTCGAACGACCACCCTTTGTTCTAAACCTTGGCTCGAGAGACCAAAGTTAGCTCAAGTGTGAAAATCGAGCATCCAGTACTTTTACAGACTTTGTAGACCGCTCGAGCGACAGAAGTTGCGCTCGAGCTAGCCGTCCTGTTTTCAAATTTTGGCTAAGTTTATCAAAGTTCAATTTTGCATCCTCATTGCATCATAGGCAATCCTAAGCCATATTTAAGCTACAATAACGAGGATAAGAGTTAGAAACACACGCTAAGAAAGAAGAATGATGAGTTCAATAGTTTTGAGATGTGTGTCCAATGTGTATCTGTCATGTGTTTATGTATGTAACAACCCTCATACTGTTTACTGATTAAGGACTGATCGATTACCGACGGTGCTAAACCCATAGGGCCGGGTTTGGGTCGTGACAATGTAGGTCATCTATTATCGCCTGCCTGATCAGTCTGTTCTGTCCACGTGATATGTTCTGCTACTAGAGCTATCCGTGAGTAACAACTTTGTAAGGCTATGTTTGATTATACGTATTTTCTGACTGAAATGATACGATCTGTTTTCTGAAATGCTGTTTGTGAATCATGAATGAATGTCCAATTTCTATAACGTAATATGGCATCCTATGTTCATGTGGCCCTTACCCAGGGGTAACAATACCGCGGTCTATGTTCATGTAGCCCTCGCCTAGAGGTAACAATACCAAGTCTATATGTGCACAGAGATCTCTGACGTTTCGAATCCTTAGAGCTAACTGTTGACCTATATGGTCGACGATACTAACTATGGTTTTAATGATCACCTATTCTACACGTGGGTCTTTTGACAAATCTGATCTGTTAGCTATTGGATGTACCACGTATGACGGTTTATGAAATTTTTATAAACATGTGAATTTGAATATATTTCTGATTTGAAATCTGATTTTTGAATCTAATGGGATATCATTCATAAACCCTTTACCTTATTGTTATTCACTGGGCTCCAGCTTACTGTATTATTTATGTATGTAGGTGATCAAGTGCAGGACTAGGCTTAAGCTGTTGCCTGGAGTTTTGTCTTGTGAAGCCAACTAGTGTGCCTCCCGATGAGGTTCCCAAGTGATTCAAGTGATTAAGTTTTGTGCACATGTTGGTTGCTTTTATCTTTTCTTTTCTCCTGCTTAGATAATACTTTTGTTTATCTACATGTAAGGGTGACGTAAGACAATGATATGTATATGATGTCACTATTTATATGTGAATATAAGTTTTAAATTTTCTATCCCATATATGTCTGCACAGCTCTATGGACATCGTATTTTTATGAATTTGCTTCCGCTAGCCCCTATTAATTTAATTACTGTTAAGAGGCCTTTGGTAATCTACGAATTACTAGTCGATTACGGCGTTAAATCTGTAGGGGCGGCTTTGGGTCATGACACAAAGACACAGGCAACGAGCATATGTAGAAACGCTAGGAGGTTGTTTAGAAGTGCAGTGGGCAAAGGCTGATAGTTCAGAGGAAAACCCCGAGCAAAGAAGACAGAGAAAGTTAACCAGGCCAAGCGTGTTATTTGGAAAACAAAGAGTGTTTTCTATTGCTCCAGCCGTGTATTGTGATGCATGGCATGTTAGTGGCATTTCAAAAAGGAATTGTAATGTCACTAAGCACTCAAAGGAGTGCAAGGGCATCCAATCAGGGGGTGCAGGATATCTTGGTTACGCAAGTTCAAACATAGCAGATGAAGACATCCGAGACAAAAAGCATGGAAGAGATCTGTGAGAGATAAAAGCAGAGGTTCTCTCCAAATCAAAGAGTGGTGTGAGTTGAGTTGAGGACTCCCTTCTCCTCTTGTATCTTTGGTGTATTATCTCTAACTTCAAAGGATGTAGGCGTCTATGAGGAGATGCAGAATATGCTGGTTTTGGACGTGACAAGATTAGCAGCAATGTGTGTTGTGGATCACCTCACATGGGTTGAGGGGATGGTTTGTTGGATATCTATCACCTCATGTAAGGGGTGATTATTCTCCACCGAAAGTATCCGAAAAGTGAGGCACCACAAGTTAAGAATGGAGGCTGTCAACCGACAAGCCGTAAAAATGGACAGTCACCGAAAGTGAAGGAACAACTAGCTATGTGTTGTGCCAGCCAGGCTCTCCAGCTTTCTCCATCTTGGTGTATAAATGGAGAGGCTAAAGGGAGAGTTTTGTGAGTGAGCAAACCGAGAGTGGGAAAATTGAGAGAGTGAGATAGAAAGTCCCTCTATGTGAGAGGGGGAGCTCAGTGAGAGTTGAGTGAGAGTGGTTTTCTCCTCCATTGTTATTCTCTTTGTAATCTCTTCATTGTTATAGTGATAACCGGTTACTCTCCCGTGGATATAGGCATTGAGGCCGAACCACGTTAAATATTGTGTCTCCTTGGATGTGTGTATTTTTCTGCTTGGTATAATTTCTGGAACGTCTTGAGCAGGATCACGGATCCCCAACATTATGATCCAAATCTTTGTTGGTTCTCTATATTGTATTCACAAGAAAACAAATTGCTGGTGGTTAATTTCAAGACTTTTATTCACCCCAAAAAATTGCAAGACTCTCATACTTTTTGTTACTGAAAACGCACATTTGCTCTGCAATTTCTCCAGCATACGCACTGTCACAGATGTGAGCATTACCAAATGGGTCACAGAAATACACGGGAAAGAATTTTCTACCTCCCCACAAAAGCTTGTGTTTAGTAGATTCGACATTGCAGAACTTGATGCATTGTTCACTCCAGGAACTTGCGTAGATGCATACTTCTCCTTAGACCCATACGACTATCAACAGCGCGCTGGTATTCGATTGGTGGCAAAAAAGTTAATCATACATTCTAATTGATTGGTCATTCGCCACGTGAATTTGTACTGAGTTTGACTATCAAAATTTGACTTTTGTGTTTTGTGAGGTTAATTGGAATGGAGGTGGATGCTTAAATGATGACAAGTAATTGTAACAGAAAATTTGTCTAGTCTGTGTGATTTTTATGCAGAAATTGACTTGATATGAACAAACCTATTTCTACACTTGTGGTTTCTTTTATAAGCACTTTCTTGTTGCCTAAATTGTGAACAAGAAAAAGAGCTAATTACACTAAGGCCTTTTCAACTATTAACGAATATCACTTTACTTCTCTCATTTATAAATCTGTACATATTGACCTCCTAAACTATGAAAATCTTATAAATACACCCCTATGGAGGTGGTTTGGAGAGAGTAAAAGTGAAACATTTTTATAGTTAAGAGGTCAAAATGTATGGGATTATAAATAAAAGGGACAAAGTGATATTAGCTAATAGTTGAGGCGGTCTTGGCATAATTCTCTAAGAAAAAATTAGCAATATTTGTTTGTTAGCATTTTACATGTAAATGAGCCAAAATGAGCTATGGATTTGAGTTTGGATTAAAAATTTAATGAGTTTTAAATTTAGATCTCAGCAGAGTTTCAATGGACCCAAGCTCAAGTAGGTTTTTTTTTTTTTTTCCATAAGTTTAAAAATGAGTTCGAGATTAACTTTTCACATAATAATGCCATATGAAATTAGATCTTAACAAACAGTTAAATGCGAATAGCTCAGTCTGTTTTACTGCCTCAAGCCGACCCTTTCTTTAGGCCATTTAGGCATTCGCCTAAAGCTCCCAATTTTTCAAAACCCTCATTTTTTTCCCTATTTGACCTTTGTCAAAAGGGCTCCAAGTTAAAAAAATTTCTTCTGATCTTAAAGGCCACTAAAATTTTTATAAAAAATTAATTGTTTTTCAAAAAATAAAAATAAAGACTATCCCAAAAATACATTACCTGTTCAACAACCCAACAAAATAAAATTAATCCTTGTCCATAGACCCCCAATAGCAAAGGATGAATAAAATAGTTTTTTGTCCAAAGGTAATATAAGAAAAACAAATCTCCATTTCTAGAGACTTAACAAAAGAAAATTACTCATTGTCCAAAGGATCTCAATAATAAAAGTTGTAAACCAATCCTACTTACAGGAATAGATATGCACGAAAATTATTTAATTTTTTTAAAAAGTTGTATAAAAATTAATAAGTATATTCAAACATTTAAATACAAAATTTCCTTTTAAAATTTCACCTCAGATTTCCAAAAGTATTGGACTGCACAGAGCCCTACTTTTGAGTTATTTGATAGGTCTGGCCCATGTGTGAATTCCTATTTCTCTATTTAAAAAAATTATAAGATTTAGTAGTTTATATAATTTTACTCAATAAAATAATATCTCAATCAACAAGTATAGGACAATTAGGTTGAACTTACTAGACAATTTGGTAGGCCAAACTCATGTATGGTTAATTTGCTAACAATTAGATCAAACCTAACACATACACACTCTTAGAAAAAGAGAGCTAGCTAGCTATGCTAGGATATTTGTCACTAGTAATTATCCAGTAGTCACAAAATATTACATAACACTCCTAACCAATAACATAATATATATATATAAATATTTACAAGTAGCCCCGTACTTGCCGATCTTTGTATGCAATTAAAAGACAAAAGATGATGACTCACCTAATATATGTTGTGATTGCTTAATTCACTGAAAGTATCACGTATATAATGTTATATGGTACTTCAAAATTACCTAATAATTTTCTGTTGTCGCATGTGAATTAATTTCTAGAGGAACACATGGGGTATGTTGGAATCACATAGTTATAGTATTGTTATATACTCTAACATGTAGCTATCACATACCTAATGAAGATCAACAATGATATCAAGAATATAATATATGGTCTAGATTCAAGATGTGGATTTCATTGTATAATAGATGAATCTCAATCACATATTCGCTTTACTAAGTGAAGATATTTCCATTAGACCATGTGGTTGTTGGGAAGACATTGTGAGAAGCTTTATAAACTAAGGTTTAAGTACTAAAAATATGTATTATTGTATGCTAATACTAAGGTTAATTAAATAGGTCCCTCTGAGTTTTGTATGCATACATTACATGCAATGGATAAAAGCAAGAGCTTTGTGATGAGCAAAGGTTGGATTCGCAGCAAAGTTAGGGTTTTGCTTTTTGACAATGATCCTTAAAGTTGTCAAGAATTGTTACACTTCTTCGCAAATGTTTTTATTAGCGTATTGTTGTCTTTCTATTTTGAGTACATAGATAAAATTTCATGTAAGGGAGAATAACTTAAAATAATATACTTTTATGAATATGCAATTCGGAGCAAGCAATAATTGTGTTTATCATGTTACAATTTTCACTTACACCAATCACATACTCATTTGCATCTCCATAAAGGTATAAATATTTTAAGTTGTTCTTATTTAAATACACTCTTTATATATAATTATGGAAAAACAATAATGGCCTTACTTTTACTGAAAGTAATAATCATGAAAGATGATACATTTGATGGACTCGTCGTATGCACTTTCTTAATACTTTTTGTAATTTTATTATTTGTATTTGGATTCTCTCTTCTGTTTATTATTTTCTTTCTCCCTTTCTTACTATTTGTATGCACTATTTGTGCAGGCAATTAGCTCAGTCTACATGCAATTACTTGTGCTTAAGAAGAACTAATTGGGTTGTTCTAGTTGACTAGCGCACATGACTTCCATTTGTGAAATTTTGAGTTCAAATCTAAAGAGGGGAAACTAATGTTAAAAGTTTTATTCGTCACTCTCCACTAAGGAAATCCCCAGAGCTTAGATCTATGAGATCAAAGAATTACATATATCTAAAGGACTAATCGAGATGAAACCTTAGACACACTTGTGAACCAAAAAGAACAGACTTGATTAGTGCTCTAAATGTCAAGGGGGCTCACATTGATATCGTACTTGCCAAAGTTGATCTTCTAGCATCCAATGATGCCAGGATTTTGAAGTGCATTATGCAAAATGAAGGGTTAAAATGCATTCCTCTAATCAGTAAGCTTATTTTGATTTTTTAAGTTCATTCTTTTCTACTCAATTTGGTTCTTTTGTAAGAAAATTCTCAATTTTTTTTTAATTTCCTTTTTCTTTTTTCTTTTTTCTTTTTTCTTTTTTCTTTTTTGTTAATCATTAAGTGTTGTCAACACCGGATCAAGTCTCTCTTATCGGAAAATGCCTGAGACTTGGAGTAGTAGACTATCTTGTGAAGCCTCTATGTGATACTGAGCTACTGAATTTGTGGATGTACACATTGGATAAGGAGGCAGTGCATAATGGTTTGTACCACTTTGTTTGGTTTTGTTTTGAGAATCTGTTGTTTATTTTTTTAAACACTAACAGCTAATTTGTCGAAAAAAACTTCATTTGTTTTCATGTAGGACTATTTGAAGATGATAAGGGTTACCCATATGACAGATTCTATTAGCAGGTACATATGGAGCAAGGATTGTTTTACAACTTAAAGCTTTTGAAGTTTTCGTTTGGACAGCAAGCAAATTGCAAGGGCATCACTAACTGTTTCTTGGGCGATAATATGTGAAAATACAAAATTGCCCTTCTAAATTCACTACATAATATTGACTTGGAGGCAATTTTTAGAGTTCAATAGAATTTTTCCAATCTTATATTTTGATCGGATTGAAAATTTTATAGCATTATCATACGGCTTACTTTAATACTATACGTAAATCTCATCCACCGTGATTCTCCGAGAATAATCTATAATTTTCCTCAATCACCCAACACAATATCCCACTTATCCACATTTTTCACCAATCACAATACTATGAAATATCACGTGTCTATATTTTGAGATTATTGAATAATTACCCTTATTTCAATGAATCAATGGTAACTTCCTACAATTATTTATCTTCACTGCTTGCCCTCAAAGAAGAGTGTGCAATTAATTTGTTGCAACATGCGAGGGACTTATAAGGTTTAAGACAAAATAGAGATCCTCTATTCTAGATTGACACAAATGACAAAGAGGCTTCGTTTTGGAAAATTGGGTTGGCTTTTTGACTTTTTAACTATTTTAATCCTAATTAAAAAGTTCATTTTTGAATTGGCTTTTCTGACTTTTATGAAGGAAAAAGTAAAATGATTATAATTTAGATATAATATTTTTTGTCTTATTGACTTTTTAATTTATTTTGTCTTTTTGTGATTAATTTAGCCAAAAAACCAACCCAACTTTCATGCCAAACGACACCAGAGTCCTAACGCTAGCACCGCGCATGAAATTTTAGCAGGATAAACTATACATGACATGAATGTAATATATCAGAGATGAAGTGTATACGGGTATTTAACTTCAATTTTTTATTTATTATTCATTATTATTATTTATTACTATTATTATTATTTTGGGACTATCTTCAATAAAGAAGTTTAAAAACATATCTTCAATCTGTTCAAATCAAATAAGTAGTCTCTCGGCATGTGAAAATACTTAAATTTGTGTGAAAATAAATTTAAAATTTTCTAAAAATGGGATGTTTTAAAAATATATATTCCAAAAAATTCGTGTAAAATAAAGTTTTTCATGTCAGCTTTTAGTGTTCATGTTTTGGAGAGGAAAAAAAATACCAAATGTGCCATGTGCCCTTAAAATGTCTAGTAATCATATACATTTTAATTCCCTTTTTTGTATCTCAAGTTCTTAACCCCTCTTGCCTTTTTTTTTTTCTTCAAAAAATTCTTCTAGTAATTATTTATTTATTTATTTATTTATTTACGATTTAAGCCTTTTGTATATATCATATTTGGCCAACATCCTAACTCCAACCTGGTAAAGACTACAAGTGCCTTATATTAGAAAATGAATACAATGATATTCGAAAAGCTCGGTTATAGTAGAACTGATGTTCAAGAACTAGAAATATGTGCAAATATTTAGTAACAAGATTCCTGTATTATCTTCATCTAGCTAAGGTTTGTTGAACTAATTTTATCTGTGTCTTAATCCAGCTAATTACATCAAATTGCTCCGCGTCATCGTCTTCTTAAATCTCAAATAAATTTGTATCAAATTTTGAAATATTATTCGAAATGAATTGGCTTTGAATATGATCTTTACAAGTTTATGTATAATAGACCCTATCCTAATTATTGTAGAAGACAAAATAATTAATAATTTTTTTTAAATACTAAAAATAGTAAATTTAAGCTCAAATTCTAGTATAAAAACATGGCCAAACAAGTGGCACTAAAAACAAAAAGTTCTAAATAAAGTCAAACCTAAAACAAAATATAATTTTTTTTTTTTCAGATTCCTGATATTAATATTTTATAAGATAAAAGACATATAATATTTTCATAACAGTTGGGGTCCCTCAATATTTTCACGAGGAAAATTTAACTCAAAGAAATTTATACCTTACTTAGAGAAATTTCAGACCGACACAGAGAAATTTTAATTTTCATATAGAAATTTATTTGATATATGATTATGAGAAATTTCAAATTTTCTCTGGTTTGATCATAGAGAAATTTCATCAAGGAACCTTAGCTAACAAAAAAATATCTTGGACCTCTCCTACTATACAAAATTGGAGAAAAATGTTTCACTAATTTTCTCAAAACAAAACTTCAAAAATATGAAAATCTAGAGTTTTTAGGATTCAGGAGCAAATATGATTTTGTAACAAAATGCTTTGTTTGATTTGCCCAGAACAATGAGACTAACAATTTTGAGTTGTATCAATACACTTTTCAATTAGCGGATTCATTGATTTGAAATGATAGGAAATTAAAATCATAGGTATAGGGATGTAAATCTGGTCCAGCCCAGCTCGGCCCGGCCAAGCGCATGTCGGGTCTCGTAGGCTCTCGCCAAAATTCAGGCCAGGCCGGCCCACGGGCCAAAAAATTAGGCTCAGGCCCAACCCTAGGCCCAGGGATATTCGAGCCTTGGGCAGGCCGATGAGCTGGGCCTAGCCTCAGGCTTGGGCGGGGCTTGGGCGGACCTAACCATTTTTTTTTTCCTACTAAAATTTTATTATTTTCCACAAAAAAGACACTGCGCTTCGGGTAGGCTGGGCCTCAAGTTAGGCCTTGAGTGGGTCCTAAGTGGGTCAATGGGCTGGGCCACGGGACGGGCTTCAAAATGATAGCCAGGCCTAAGGCTCGGGCTGGGCCTAAACGGGCCGTACCCATCCCAGGCTGCGGGTGGGTTTCGGGCTGCCCATGAGCCGCGAGCCATTTTTACGTACACCATAAATGATTAATACCCTAAACAATGTATTTTTGAGATCAAAGGGTTGGTCTGATCGGGCATGATGCTCGGGTTTGATCCGAATTTCAGTCTCATCCCTCTTCATCTTTTCTTATTCCCCTCTTATCACTTATAAATAATGAAAAATACATCTTTTAGTACAGCTTTTAAGTAAAATAATCTCAGAATGTCTATTGACCTAACAAAACAATTGATGACGTACTGATAATATTGTATTCCTCTCACAATGACACACATACAAACATTTTACATTATAGAACATGCTGTTTGTTTGTTGTAAGGGTTAAAGAAATCTTAAAATGCTCCTGATGAATGAGATACTTTCATCAATAACTATAAGAATAATTATATAAAAATAAAAAACCATATATTGATAAGAAATAAACAGTATCAAACAGTTCTTCATAAAATTTGAACCCGTTATCTCGTACCACCAAATTTTTATGATGCTATACAATTATTAGCCCAAAGGTCCTGATGTATAATACTTGTTATATAAAAAATTTTAACAACCTAGTGTTGGGATTCTTGACACATCCCCAAACAAAAACAGAAACACACTCATACAAACTCTAAAGAAAAAATAATTTTACAAAAATTTAGATTCAATATAAACTTGACTATGTCTGTTAATATATTAATGTATGGCTATTAATATTAATATATAAATGTATAAAATACAGCTAGATAGGATTTAGCTTTCGGTCCCTTTTTATAATGATGTTTGTCAGATGATGATGTTTGTAACATAGAAGCTCCTATATAACGGAGACCCTCTATATGGTTTTAGATATGTAGAAATACAGAGATTTCTCTCTCTATATCACTCTCTCAACTTATTTTACATGGTATCAGAGCCTTAAATATATAGCTCATTAACCAAAAAAATTCACATTTTCTGGTAGTTATCTCTGTTTTATCACTGATCAGATCTTTTTTGTTCTCAAAAATTTTCGCACTGCCTACCAAAGTGCTCGAAATCTTCTCACAATTCCAACGCCACCAACGGCGTCCTCAAATCTGCTCTAACGCGCCCTCATGCGCCACATTTGTCGCTGTCACGTCACCCACTTCCGCCTTCGACGTCTCACGCGCCACACGCACTTCTCAGTCGCTCGAGCTGTCTCGTCCTCATCATCTCACATGCAACATGCCCCTACAGCCGCTTGAGCCGTCTCTCACAGCACGCGTCACTCGCTCGCGCTGCTCTAGCCACTCGCGCACGCCGCTTGCTGCAATTGCCTTCGCCTTCGGTTCCAGACTTCGGCTCTAGCCGATTTAGCTCAAACCGGCTCAGCAACTTCCCCAGGCCGGTTCAACCCTATTTTTGGACTTTTCTGGCCGGTTCAAACCAGTTCCCCATTAATTTAGACCTTTTGAATTCACTGGTACCCTCAGTTTTTTCAGCTTCTACCTCGATCGTGTTGTTTTTCCTTCATGGATCGATCGGACTCCTCTAACCACCCTATTTCCATTGTTCTTGACGGGACCAATTATGTCTTATGGGCACAAGCCATGTCTAGCTTCCTCAAAGGCAAGAAACTTTGGCACATCATCACTGGGGATATGTGCGAACCCATTCAAGAGACCGTGGAATCACCTAACAAATATGTCGACCAGCTGGAGGATTGGGACAGTAAAAACTATCAGATCATCACTTGGCTTCGCAATACTTCTACTACATCTATCAGCCTTCAGTTTGGTGGGTTCAAACTTGACTCTGTTTCTACTCCGACAAAACCCATCTGGGATTTTTTAAAAGAACGTTATCAGACTACTAGTCTTGCTCACCAATATCAGCTTCTGAGTAATCTTCACCATATACGCCAAGACACAACTCAGACTATTAATGATTTCCTCTCCCAAATGTATTCTGTTTGGGATCAGCTCGCTCTTTTTAAACCTTCATGGCCCCATATTGAGGATGCTGCCTTGTTTACTACTTATCGTGACCAACAATGATTGGTTCAGTTTCTTATGGCTCTCACTCCCCATTTTGAGCCAGTGCGCGCATCTCTCCTTTGTCGCACTTCTTTACCTACTCTTGAGCAAGCAATTTCTGAACTACTTTCAGAGGAAACTAGGTTTGGTACTCTTCATTTGCACCCTGTGGACTATGTTCTTGCTACTCCCCAAACTCGGAGTTTTCCTTCACCACAAAGGTCAACTATCTACAACTACTATCAAAACTGAGGTCTTCCATCTACTCATCTTCTAGTTAATTGTCCAGTTCGCCTTTGTCTATTTTGTAACAAGATAGGTCCTGGTCATCTCCAGCAAGATTGCTTCCGCAATCCAGCCCGAGCCTCTCCTGGCTCCTCCTCTTGCCATGGTCCTTCCATCGGGAATTTTTCACGCGGCAGCTTTCCCCATCCTGGGAATCAGTTTAAATCTATGCCTATTCATCGCATTGCTGCTGCTGCCTCAGAGGATTTACCGTCCTCCGTCCCTATAAACCCTTCCACTCCAGTCTTCTCTCAAACCGATGTCGAAGCCATGTTCCAACAATTTCTCTCCACTTCTAATACTCCTCCAACTACTGCTTTGTCTGCACCTCAGGTAACACTTCCTGGTACTTTGACTCCGCT